GGAGTCATCTGAAAATCATGTGTTTGGTAGCAACCTCACTACATTTTGTGTTGAATTTTTTTGGAGCTGTAATTTAGCTTGAAAGAAAATTTACAATTCTTGTGCCACAAACAAGGCTTGCATTTTCAGCCTTTCATTTATGTTTTAATTATAGTGTAATGGAATTTTGAATTATAAAGGAAAATGAGATGTACATTCAATTTAAGTGTATACAATTTAGTTACAGGCTTTTGTAACTGAAAGTGTAAAAGTAGAATTCTGAACTTTTAATAGCCATGTAATTTCTTAGATTTTATATGAAAGAATAAGCACTGCTATAAATTGAAAGCAGGAATGAGTCTACTTCTTAAACAACATGCCTCCAAAAACTCTAAGAACTTTGATAAATGTCAATAGTTATAGAAAGGCCTCAGGTTTTGTTCATAGGGTCACTATTAGTCGTGTTCAACACAAAGGCACCCAACAACATCAATAACAGCAACAATATTTGTAAAATTTGCCTTTAGTATAAGGTACTGCTTTTTTTTTTAGTAGGTGGAAACCAAGATTAGGGGTTAAGCAAATATTGTATTTTATTATATGATGGAAAAATTAATTCATTAAAAATATTAGCTACCCATATGAGAAGTAATAGTGACAATGTTTTTGTAAACATTGCAAAAATATGTAGATTGACAGAAAAAGATTTTAAAAATTAAAAAAATTACTAAATTACAAATATGATTTTTGAAAACAGGCTATGTAATTGATTTTTATAGCTAATGATAATTATATTATAGAAAAGTTGTTATTATAGAGGAGAAATGAATTGAACTTCTGTACTTTATGGAGCCAAATATAATTGCCATTAATTAACATCCTTATGTTAAGAGAACAGGGTCCTTATGTTTAGCAGCACAAAATATCATACGCTGGAGCCACATCCACTTCCTCAACAACATGCCTCTGGAAATTGCATGAACTTTGAGAAACTATAGTTATTGAAAGACTTCAAGTCTTTTGTTCATAGGGTTGCTATGAGTTGTTGACTAGACGGCAGTCAACAACAACAACATGCCATCTTTATAATTGTGGGTATGTTTAAATCCATTGTTGTAGCTACTGTGTCCATTTGCCCTATCAAGGGTTTCTCTAGCTCTTTATTTTTTGTTGTGTTTGTTCCATTAGTTCTTTTGGTGATCCTCAGGTTTACCAATCATCATTACTTGTTTGTTTTTTTTTTAATCTATTGGCATAGAAGTAGTACTGCTTATTTCATGCACATGATCATAGCCCACAACAGTATAAAACATTAGTATCCAAGAAGAGAAATTGTATCATCATAAAGGTTACATTACATACTTCTGAGGAATAATTTAGTCACGAAGAATTACATTAAACTATTAACCTCAAAAACTTATGGCATGTAAAATATATTTTTTGATATTATATTCCTCATACACTATGAATATTGAAAGGAAATTTTATTTGTCAATATCCTTATAATTGTAAGGTAGAAAACACACTGGATTTACAGTTGAAATAATGGACTTTGAAAGTTTTAGAGAATTGTAGAAATACTTTGAGAATCATAAATACAATTTGTCAAAATTATTTTGATAGTTGAGCATAAAAGTGTTTGCTCTGTTATCTTAGTCATGTTCAGGCTAATACATGACATTATGATTTTAGTTTCCTATAAGTCAAGGTATTTTTTAGAGCATTACTCGATATATTTCAATATGAAATAGTATCAATGTATTTTGACTAACCAGAGGAAAAACAAGAACAACAACAACAAAGCCAGCTCAAACTAAATAAAGTTTGCTGTAATTGTAATTGTTACTGAAAACTGGAGATAAAGAGATGGCTGCAATCTAGGCAGCTCTGTGCACAATAGGAGGCATGTTAGTTTTCCAGTGTTTTGTAGTATCTTCCAACTGTCTAAGCAGCTTCAAACAATACACCCTTGTTAATTTACAACTCAATAGGCTGGAAGTCCAGATGCTGAATGGCTGTGTTCTGTGCTCAGGATTATAAGGCTGGAATTATGGCAGCTGTCAGGCTACCTCTTTTCTCAGGCTTATGAAGAAGATTGCACTTAATCAATCACATTTAGGCTTTGAGATTTTAAGACTGAAGTAGTAATTCCTTTGTTATCAAGTCCAGATTACTCTCAGCTCTTAAGGCTTACTGTGTACGATGATATGTGGTCTCCTCCATCTACAAAGACAACAGCAAAAATATTTCTAGTTTCAAATATGTCTCCAGTAAAAGCTTCCAAGGGATCACTGGGATTGTTTTTTCCCTCTCTGAAAACTCTATATTTTTTTAATTGATTAAAATGTAAATAATTAACTTATCATTTGTGTCGGTTCTACTAAGTGTATCACAGAAGAGGAAGAAGTATAATTGTAGACATTCTGCCTACTTCAGAGAGATATGGGTTTATTGACAAGAAATTATTGAGAAAGAGCAGAGACTTAAACTTATTGTAGGAGAAAACAGAGTGTAAGGAATTTTTTTTTAAAAAATATACTATTTTATTTGCAAAATTATAATACATTGTTTTCCAGAACAAATTTGTGTAAGGAATTGATTAAGAAAGGATCAAATTATGGAAGAAGAAATAAGAACAAAATGCAGGAAACTGTAACAGGAAAAGAGAAGAAAATGCAAAGATTCATATAATACATCACATGATGTAATAAGCCTTATTATAGTCCAAGGTTCCTCGGTGACATAAATAGCTTAGTGCTGCTCAACTACCAGTGAGAAGGCTGACAGTTCAAACCCACCCAGAAACATTGTTGCTATTGTTGTGTTTTGAGTGGTAGATGACTCATATTGACCCTATGAACAAAAGACCTGAACACTTGTAGAACTTTAATCATTTCTCCAAGTTCACAGAGTTTCCGGAGACAAGCTATTTTGGAAGTAAATGCCAGTTATGCTCCCAATCTTGTTCTAATCAGAGAGCTCCACCAAACACTGTCCACCATGGGTAACCATTATCACATTTGACACATCAGTGTCACAATCTTCAACATCACAGCAATCATGAGTTGCTCTGTACAGCAAATGGACAGACCAGTGCTTTGCCACTTAGAAGAATGTTTGACCAAAAATCATTCAACCAGGCCTGAGGGCCACAGATTAAAATCACACACCTTTGAGTTGGTAGCATCACTTTGAGTGCTGTCAAGTCATAGATGACTCCTAATGACCCTGAGAACAAAGGAACTGAAGACGTGTATAAAACATTCATACTATCATACTATCTGGCATAAACTGATTCGCAACACATTAGTCATCAGCCTACCGGTGTATTTTTACAGTATTTTTAAATTCTGGCACGACCAAATACTGGTAGACTATGGGCCAGAGATCCCCAATTCATCTGGCAAGTCCCACCCGCTGACACCCACCTGGGACAAAAGGAAAGCTCTTAAGAGCCGCTTGCATTCCATGTGAGTCCCTCTCAAGACGCCAGAAGCATAGCCAAAGAAAATCCTGCTCATCTGCTTCCAAAATGTTATAGCCATGAAAACTCTAAATTTTAAACTTTCACACACAGTCACCTTGAGTAGGAATCAAGTTGACATAAAAGTTTTTGCTAAACTTTAAATTGGAAGATACATATGATTTGGCACATATTTATAGGTACATAATAGTACATAAACTAAAGGAGTGACTAACAGGAGATTTATCTTAGTTCTGGAACTTGCTATCTATATATAAGATTGCATATATTGGCTATTTCAAGAGGCAGGGTAAATGAGTTCACAGTAGTACATAAAAAGCAATTATGTTCTTATCTGCCTATAATTTTACAGAGATTACAAATTTCTGCATGTACAGTTTGTTCCTAATTTTTTTCATTATTCATGAGACATTACTGCAATTGCAAACTATTTTTCAGATATTATGAGTATATAAATGTTCACAAAAATATGTCAGTTTTGGTATTATGAAAATTAATGTGTTTTAGAGTCCCATTTGGCATGTTTGTTTTACTGCCTATTTGTAAAATTATGTTAGAAATGAAATAAAATAGTAATTTAAGATTTTTTTAACTGAAATCTAGCCTGAAGGAATATAACTCTCTTTTCTATTAGATTTTTCTTATTTTTAGTAAATAAATGGTACAACTCACTTTATAAATATCAATTCTAGCTTTTATCTCATTATCAATTCTCCAGTGAGTGTGTTAAAAAGCACATTTTCTTCTCTGCAAGATAAATTCATTCTCTGTTTACTCTCTCTCCCTCCCTAAAGACTAATCAAAAGAAAGATCTTTTCACACTTTGCAAATGTATAAAGACTTTAAACCTAATGTACTTGAAAACTCTTTTTTGCTATATTCAGCTCTTAAACAATTCAAAATTTATACTACTATTAAAGACATTGAGAAATCGGAAACATTTCTTACATTTTAATGTCTTCACATAGTACTTATGGTCCTTTATAACAGGACATTGACCATTTTGTTGTCATTTTTCTTTTCAAGGTCACTTTAGATTTGAGATAATCTAGTAATTTTACTTTATGAGAAATTGTGTGATGATCTTAATTGTTATGTTTAAAACTTCCTCTTTCATTTCTCCATGTTGGTTGGCCACTTTCAGCTGCACATTTTTTTTCCATCATTGTATTTGAATCTTTGATATTTTATCTTTCAATATATGAACTTGATATTTAAATAATTATAGTATTCTTAATGGAGTTTTAAGTACTCTTCTTTTTCTCTTATATAATTCATATTTGACCCCTCTTATAGGTAGAGACTGTCCTCATCGTTATTGTGTCATTTTAAAAATCAGATTTTAAAAGCTGTACAGATATACAAAGGCATACAATGTTAAAGCAATCTTACTGAGAGTAAATTCGGAAAAGAGTGGTGCTTGGTTTACATTGTGTAAAGCATACTGAACACTTACGGGAATTTTTTCCCCAAATGGAATATAATGAATAATATCTGTTCTAAATGTATCTCTTCTTTATTTTTTTTATTTTTTTAGGAGTACAAGATCCCCATCATGAGAGAATTATTACTGTGTCTTCTAATGGAAGCATTCACAGTCCGAGGTTCCCTCATACTTATCCAAGAAACATGGTCTTGGTATGGAGACTAGTAGCAGTAGAAGAGAATGTATGGATACAGCTAACATTTGATGAAAGATTTGGTCTTGAAGACCCAGAAGATGACATATGCAAGTAAGTTATCATACCTGAAATTAAAACAGAGTGCAAGAAGTGCTGCAGTTTTTCTTCTTAAGTAATTTTGATGATGTAAGTTTAAATATTATCTTTTATTCTATTAAAGGAGGCCTGTTGGCTCTATGGTTAAGCACTAGAATAATAATCCAGAGGTTGGTAGTTCAAACTCACTAGCTGCTTCTCCTGAGGAAGATGTTGTAATCTGCATCCGTAAAGATTTACAACCTGAGAAACTATATGAGATAGTTCTGTTTTGTATTCTGGAGCTCTATGAGTTGAAATTAGCTCAATGGCAATGACCTTTTGTTTTATTAAGTTTTCTAATGATCTAAGAAATTTGCAGTCCTAATTAAGATATAGGTACATAGGGTTTTCGGAGGCCTACTGTTTCAGAAGTGGATGGCCAGTCCTTCTTCCTAGTCTGTCTTAATCTGAATGTTCAGATTTAGAGAAGTATTCAACAGATTCATCCTGGAAAGGATTAAATCAGGTAGCTCCCTGGAGGCAAGGATTCTGAGGCTTCGTCTAACATACTTTGGACATGTTGTAAGGAGGGACCAGTCCTTGGAGAGGGACATCATGTTTGGTAGGGTGGAGGGACGGTGCAGGAGGGGAACACCCTCTATGAGGTGGATTGATTCAGTGACTGGGGTAATTGGGATGGGTGTATCAGAGATGGTGCAATTGACACAGGACAGAGCAGAGTTTTAGGCTGTTGTCCATAGGGTTGCTATGAGTCACAAGCTACTTGATGGCACATAACAACAACAATTAAGCTATATTGGGTTTAAGATAAGGGGAGATGATATAGACAGACATATAAGTAGGTAGATAGAAAGATATATATGTAAATATAGTTATATAGGTAATATTTGAAATATATAGATATTTCAAATTCATCAACTGCTGTGTGAGAAAGCTAGGCATTCTTCTCCAGTGAGATTTACAGCCTCTGAACACCAGCTGGAAGGTCATCTGTGAATTTGTCCTGACTCAAAGATAATTAATTAGTGACTGTTATATAGCTACATATGAAAAAAATCTAGATAATTTATGACACAAGTTTATACGAAGTTTAAAAAGGAGGAACAACATCGAATGAAAACCAACTCAATTACTGTCAAACTGATTTCAAATCACCATGATGCTGTACTCGTCATGGCAGATCTGTTTCACAACAGTTTGTGGAACAATGTGGTCAAAGATTGTTCTTTAGTGGAATATCTGTGAAAGCTTGAACCATCAAGCTTTAATTTAATAACCACATAGTTAAATACCATTTTAAATAGAGATTAGAAAGTAAAAGACAACTACAGAAAATTGGGCTTAAAAATTGTGTCAGTGTTGTGCTAAAATGTTTCTATTTGGACTTGCTGTGATAACTAAATCAGCAAAATAACTAATAAACTCTTTGAGAAAAGAGGTAAGGGACCACCTGTGCCTGTGGATATGTATTACTTTGATGTGTATCAAGGGATACACACAGATACACACACACAAACAAGAAGTTTGAATATCTAATCACCAAGAAGAAATGCCCTTCAGAAAGTCAGTCTGAAAATTTAGTCTAACATGCCTTGCCAGGTTGAATTTCATCATAATTCTCCTAGAAGCATGCATGAACCAAAGTCAGCTGGAGTATTTCACCCATGTAAAAGACCACCTACTGTATGTCATACAAATATTACTCTTTAAATCCCATGTGAATGCACTTGTCAAGGTTGGGTGGTCTTCTTGAAAGTTTTCAGTTCAATGGGGTGTGTGTGTATCATGAAAATATTTTTACTTGAACTTCTCGGCAAGATTCTTTATTTTTTCTTTGATAGATAGCGTTAAAAGAGAATTTTCATTTTACGTTATATTATAAATAAATACTTCAATACAGATGAAATAAACTTTGTGCTTGCTGTCATTACAATGTGTATCTTCACCATACTTAGATTTCTGACATACTACTTTTTTCCATGACTCTCTGCATTTCATTTCGTTTTTTCCCCCCTTTCTGCTTACATCTCTAATTTTAAACTTTGAGAACCAAAGCTATACTGCTTAATTTTAGGTACTATATTATTTAACCCTTAATTATGTGGATAATACATAATGATATAAAATAGCTGCCATAGATCTCATTTATCTTTCAGTACAAAATAGATACTGAAACATATTTTTAGGTAATATCCTTATAAATCATTAACTATGTTACACTATTTTCCATGTATTCTTTTAGCAGTGAAATCACTTTGTCAAAAATTTTGCAAGATCTGAGTGTTGCCCTATTGACATATTAGCCAGTTTGCCTACCACAGTGACATGATTGATAACAAAAATATAAGACTTTTGAGTCATAGATAGAAGTCTATCTTAAAATAATAGCAGTCATTATAATATTAGCCTTATTTTGTGCCTCTTTGTCTATTCCCACAACTGAAGACCAAGAGAGCCAAGGGACACTACAACACATAGAGGCATCATCATACACACACACACACACACACACACACACACACACACACACACACATTCGTATATGTATATGTGTATGTGTATGTATATATATTTACGTATATGAATGTCATTGTAGTTTTGTATCATCAAATCAGAACTGACCCATAGCTGACCCTCCTGCTGCTTTACAGAGGCCCACACGGGAGGAAATTGGCCATCCTTCTCCTGTGAAGCAGATCAAGCAGCTCGTGGATGTGAATTGTGTGCCTTCAGGATTGCAGCATAACTTCTTACCAGAGCTCCCTATATATGGCTTAATGGTAAGGAATTATGCTGCCTACCCAAAGGTATTCCATTTGAATCCACAAGCTGCTCCACGGGAGAAAGATGAGCAATTCGTTTTCTGTGGGGGTCACTGTTTCTAAAAACACACTGGAGGATCAGCTATGACTTGGCTCTGAGTCGGTGACACTCAACATCATCAACAACATATATGTAGTTAAATTATGAAATTTGTAACTGAATATGCTAGCCAGTCAATTTAAAATGTGGCACTACTAAGGTTTTAAAAGTCTACTATGTACTCCCCTTACTTATTCCTTCAAATATATCTAAGCAACATCCTACATTGTTCCTCATTCAACTTTTTTTCTGTACTTCTACCAGTAGCACATATTTTCTTGCATAAAATACTTATTTTTCCTGTTTTTAAATAAATGTAAATGGAATAATACTGTTTTTATGGTACCTTACTATATGTATTAAAATAAGAAAAATTATACTAATAAAATGCTCAATTAGTTAATGGTACAATCAACTTATTAGACCATTTGTTTTTTTCTTTGAAATACAATGTTTTGTTGTATACATATTCATCTTTTTTGAGTCTGGTCTATTATTGATGAATCTAGTTCATTGAATGTGTTTCAGTTGATTGTATTATCTTTAGATATTTGTCTTTTTTATTAAAAAATTAGGACCATTTAAAGTTGTACAGGCACAATCTTTAAGACCAGAGTAGACAGTTTTGACTGGTATTGTGGTTGGTATCTGTCTGTGCTTACCTGCAGTACTAGTAAAGGGAAGAGGAGTCAGACTGACCTGGCGCATGATTTAGCTATTACAGTTTTATAGAGGCCCATATGTGCCCAAACACATGCAAGTTGGTTAACTAAAACAATTGTCTTTATATTAAGGAGGATGAGAAACTGAAATGTCATTATTTTGACAAACAATAAATAGTGTCTGCTGTAGTTCTGTGTTATAAATGGTGTGAACTAGTATTGCATAGAAAAATTTGTTATAATCAAGAAGGATATAGGAATGCTTGTGTTTCAGGGCTCAAATTTTAAGAGAAACAAAATGACAAATTTCAAGTAAGACCTGGTGTTACTGTGCTTGATGAGACCTGACGTATATGCTCATTTTGAGAGACTTAGGATGTAGTGCAGCGGACAGAGAAATGGCCCTTGAGTACATAACATTCCTGATGTTGTTTCTGGGTGTCCGTGAGTAGATCCTGACTCAGAGGGACCCCGTGTGACCGAATAGATCTGCTCCACAGACTTCTCTTGGTTGCGTTCTTTATAGAAGTACATCACCAGCTTGTCCGTGAACGTTTCCAGGGTGTGTTCAAATTCTCAGCCTTTCAGTTAGTGGTTGTGTGCTCATCCATTGTCTTACCCAGGCTCTTTCTTGCTGATATGAGAAACCTTTTCATTACAGACAAACCAAGAAACACATGAAAAATGCTAGGTGTCTGCCTATTTTATTACAATAGGAAATGAAAGGTTTTCTTCTTTGTGAATTGGGCCAAAAAAAATTGAAATTAGGCCCGAACAGGGTAGAAGATACTGTACATTAATGCAACATATCTAGAAATAATATCATAATACTGATACAATTATTATAACTAAATAATGTCCCCTGATGTTGTTACTGCTAGGTGCCATTGAATTGACTATAATTTATAGTGACCCCCGCTGTGCTATCTTCAGGATCTCTATCATGCTCAAGCCCGTCAGTCTCTGTCAGTACATTCTGTGGAGGGTCTTCCTCTCTGATCTCCTACCATTCCCAGCTTGATGTCACTCTCTAAAGACTGCTACCTCTCAATTCCTCCCATAATAGTGTCACTCTCCAAGGACTAGTCTTCTAGCAAGTAGAGGCATATGCAGGAAAAATGGTGTGATACATATGAAGACTTAGTCCTTTATAACTCTCCTGCTTTCACATGACCACAGATTGTTAGGGAGTGACTCAAAGCAGCTAAAAACATAACTGTTTGGATGATGTTACAGAACATTTCTGGCACAGAATTGATTCAGAATCTGAAATGATGCCATCAAGTCTCTGACATTTAATGCATCATCAGGCTTGTTTCCTTCTTAGTTGACTTAAGTATCAATCAGTCTGTCCTCATGATGACATAGAAAACCCTAGAAGCTTTGAGATAATAGGAGATGCAATCTTTGAAGAGACCAAGACATTTTTGGCAGAAGTCTTGGGAAAAGTGTTAATTGTTAAGTCTTGGGAAAAGTGTTATTTGTTTA